GAAGCCCTGAAGGCCCCAATCCAGTACCAAAAGGATCCTTCCCTGTGCTAAGAGGATATTCACATTGGATACATGTGAATCAAAACCAGAACAGACTCCAAACAGGTAGAGACATTTCATCAAAGCCAAACACGCTGGGTGCGAGTACCTAGGCTATGGAAAATTACATCAATGCTAGAGCAGTTCCACGAAAGGACATGCTGCTTCAGGATAAAAGAGTATCTGCCCTTGGATTGCGCTCTGTCCTCTGGTTTCAAAAACACAATCCTCATTTCCCATGCATGGTTTTCTTCCACTTTGCATTTACTTCCCCAAACCTGTACCAAAAAAGCGCCACAGAACATGCAGCATTTCACAGACAAGCACAGAAACAGCATTAACTCCACTTGTTTTGCCACATACTGCAAAGCAAAGCAGACATTACCTTCCGGAGGTCACCCCCTGAACAATATTCCATTGCCAGAAGAGGAACGTTGTTAACCAGAAAGTTCATCTCCTCAGGAACTTCACAGGCTCTTACTACATTGGGATGGTTCAACCTAAGCACATGGAAAGCTGGATAAAACCCCTGACTCCTCTTTCAGAGGAGTGAGACAACAGGTTGTCAACCAACCACATTTTATGTTTCAGGTACAATTTCAGTTCCCCAAATGTATCCTTGCTGAGAAGTACACTCTTCAACTGGTACCTATCAGTATCCAAATGCATAAAATCCATGCCTTGGGAATACACAAACCAGTGAGGAGCAGAAATGACTTCTGAAAGTCAAGGCACAGAACTTTGATGATGGGTATCTGGGCTCAAGTTCTGGATTCCTGCACATTCCTGGCAAAGTTGTTACATATATGTGTCTGTTTCTGCATGTGGCGACAGCTTCCCACCTGGCCCAAGGGTTTCACAGGACTCTGTGTGTAACTGTGCTTAGGGCGGTAGAACCAGGCAGGTGAAATCCATGTACATGGGGAAGGATTCATTTCTGCAACTGAATTCAAACCACTGCTTCCTGCCTGTCTCTAATATATGTTACTCTTGGGAATAAGAGATACATCCAGCAGGAAGTGAAGACAAATTACTGCTGTGTACACCTTGCAAAGCCTCTGGAAGGTACCACAAGAGCAGCTGTAGCTGTGTGGCTCAGTGCCTGTATTCAGAAAACGAATACGGTGAAAACACTAGCAAGAACAGTGATGACCAAGCCCTGACTTAAAAACTCAGGTTGCCTGCAAGTAGTTTTCTCCAATGTTAGTGGATACAGTGAGCAGGTGAGGGTGGCAAGAAGGCAGAGTAGATAAGTGAAGCTCTATGTAGCAGTGGCACTGCAGGCTTTGGTGAGGACAACTTGGAACAAAACTGAGCAGCATCCCTGTGGCCACCAGTGGGACCGAGTATTTCATGCTCTTGTCATGATCTCTCTCAAAAGGGAGGACAAATTCTCAGAACAAGGGAACACCTGTATGAGACACTGACACACAGAGCTACTGCTCACATCCATGAGGACAAACCCGGCCAGCTCTGGTTCTCAGGTACCTTGGTGCGACACACTGGAGAGAGGGATGGTGGGCAGCAGAGAGTACATGGTTTCTCACAAGAAAGCCTTAGGCAATGTTATTCTGTACATGTGGGAGTGTGACAAATAAAAACAAATTCCTAGCTCCCAGGTTGCTAAATCAAAGATGAATGCACTACATGGTATGGGAACATGCAGGTGTTCTCATGTCACCACACTACAACTCAATGCACTGTGTGGTGCAAGTTTGGAGGAATTCAGGTATCACTAAGGGGATGGAGAAACAGCCCAGGGAGGAAAAAAAGCACTGAGTGTTTGGATGTTGCTAGGTCCCAAGCCAAGGCATCTGCTAGTACACCAGAGCAGAAACACTTGGACATCTTGGGATGACAGATTAAAGCAGCGCGGAGCTGCAAGGTGATGGGCAGACCCTCAGCCCGGCGGGTTCAGGACCCAGCTGTCCCCAGGCCCGGTGCCTCAGCCCGGCAGGTTCAGAACCCGGCTGT